TCTTCCGACGTAATAATGCACTCTCTACACGGAAGATGGAATGTGTGTGTCTCTGGTCTCCACCTCTCAACCAGTGTAGAAATAAGGTTGAGTTCAAGGTTACAATGCCCTTCATATTTCATTACGTAACCAAATCCAACCTCGACTAAATACGGCCAGACACGAGTAGGTATCTCTAACTTAACGTTACGAATGAATGGATCTAATATACGGTATCTCTCTTAATTTAATAAATAGTATACAAATTAAAATATAAACTAATACTAAAAAATTAAATAAATAAAACATTACAATAATTAAAATAACAACACAATTTAAAATTATTACCATATTGACAAAATGCCTCGAGAAATGATTCTCATCTAAACGTAGCAACATGCCTTCCATTTTATAACTGCAAAAAGTAATAAATAAATAAAATTAGTACAATAAAATTTAATAAAATAACAACACAATTTAAAATTGTTATCATATCGACAAAATGCCTCGAGATATGATTCTCATCTAAACGTAGTAGCTTGCCTTCCATTTTATTACTGCAAAAGTAATAAAAAAATTAGTACAATAAAATTTAATAAACTAATAAATTATTATAATATAATAAAAATATTTTACCTTCTTAATTGAAAGATTGATAATAGAAAGAATGAGATAATTTGATATTTGAGGGTTGTGTTGAGTGTGGTATTTCTAGGAAGAGGGGAGGGGAAAGACGAGTAGTAATCAATGTGAGAGACGTACGGTTGAGGAATTAAAGAAAATATACACGCCTTCCGTACATGTCAGAGTTTAGTGAAGGAGGGGATGGCCATCTATATCTTTCCTTACGTGGCGCCAACTAAGACATAACCCTACAAAGGCGCGATTGACGATCCTTGCTCTATTATCACCGTGTCAGAAAGAGTGCTACATCGTTAATGTTAGAGCAGAGAGTACTTACTAGTAATTATTGGGTCTAAGGGTTATATTTTAGTAAAAACGCCGAAAATAGCACTAAATAAAAGTGAGTTAACAAACTGCAATTCCCGAGGCCATTATTGTTAGTTGCGTGTTAGAAAACAAGCAGATCTGTCACCAATCGACCACGGGATATCCTTCTGCCAGTAAAACCTGTAGGGTGTTCGGCTTTGGCTCAAATGGTATCATATTCATATGTCATGAGATCGGATCTTCTGTGCCCGACCTGCAAGTTTAACTGTTCAGGTACTAAGAGATGTGGTTGATAGAGTCAAAAAAAGCTCCGATCAAGCCGTGAACCCTCGAATAAGTCTCACCGGCATCGAGACGTCAACAGCTTAACATATTGTTAAAGTCGGCTATGCTATGATGGTTAACAACACAATCAAGGGTATGGGCTTTAGCTTGTTTGTAAGGCTATGTTAATTATGGAGGTTGCTTTCCAACCTGCTTTAATGTCTAAGCATTACTTTTTTTCAAGTTGAGGGTTGGTGTCAAAATCATCATATTAACGTATATGAATTTGAGTTCCCCTCATAGGTAATGAGAAAGAACCTGATGAGGTTTAAAATTGGATTCCGATTACACCATATTTGTCCTTATTAAGGGAGCTCGGTCGTCCAAAATCCATTTGAATTCATTGTGATATGGATATTAGGAAGAGGTCTAGAGAAAACAAAAGTTGTGAGCATTGTAGAAACTTGTTCTTCATCCTCACTTTTATCATCATCAGGAGCAGCTACATTTTGTTGATAAGGGACAAATGACGATGTAGAACTTCCATAGAATAAGGACCCTGGAGGTGAATGACTGACTATCCCACCGCTCACAGAAAACTGTGAAAACATTGAAAAACTAACATCGATGAGTGTAAAAATTACGCCGGAGGTGTCTGTGTATGTGGTGAACCTTCACCTGCCAAATAACAAGCATATGAACCCCATGTTGAATCTACAAGCATGAAAGTATAATATCAGCCAAGAGGGGTCATAAAACCCCGCGGCGGTGGCATCTAACCTAGCTGCGGTGGCATATGAAATGGTTGCGGTGTCATTTGATATAGCTGTGGTACCATCTGAAACGACTACATAATGTGTATCGGTTTAGACGGTTTCTGTTGTAATGGTTCCAGTTCTATAACTGAGGATGAGCCGAAAGCGTCTGCTCTCCATCCATGAGTCGGGGGATGATGATGATGTAACGGTAGACATCTTTGTCTGCGTCGATAAGTACTTCCACCTCGTGCTTCATCAAAAAGTATGAACGATTTCACTTTTATGTTGAACCACTCATAATAATCATCTGTAACCGAATAATGATCCACATAAATGGGTTTTGTACGGGGAATGCATCCATATCGATCCTCCCATATCATTACTCACTCTATGTGTTTCAACAGCCAGTCGACTTCTTTTTTGCCCCATCTATCGATGATATGCATATTATTGAGATTCTTTGATACTTCTGAAATATATTGTATTAAATCAAATTGGTGGAGCACGCAATCAGTAAGATGTCACTCGACAATAGCATAACATATTACAGGGATCACCGCCATCCAGACATCTAATGGGTCTCTCAAGTGATGTGGGATGCAAATCCTCATTTCTTTAGTAGAATAAGGAACACATTGGAACTAAAACAAATATTTATAATTTTTATCAAAATAATATTCTAATTATATAACGATAATTAAAGTAAATAATAAAATTTAAATACATATCTATGTACTAGCCTTCTGATAAATGAGTAGCTGAATTTATTCCAATTCATCTGGTAAATCCCGATGATATTTTCTTGTACTTGACCACCTATTCAATGAAAAAAATCATTATATACTCAACAAAATTATTTATATACGAATTCAGTATTGAAATTACCTCAACAATAGCAAAAAGACCAACGATTTTTTACGACTAGACATAAAAAGGGCATGCGATACCATGCCCAAGACTGGAGAAGAATGAGATATCTACCGATAGCATTTTTTATAATCAGTTGCTTGACACATTTCCCTATACAAAAATGCCAAAATTACTGAGCCCCAACTGAGTGTGTCGAAAACGTGAAAATTTACGAGGTTACGTAACCACAAATAATAAACTTGGTTGCACGATTTGTCGTGCATCAAGATCCCTCCTTTGAGCTGTAATATGCAAGCTCGTGCATACATTTTAACATGTTCCTCAAAGGCATCGCGATTCACATATTTTAAAAGTTGTATCCAACTAATTTAACGGTATTTGACCATCGTTGAAATTAGGCGGGACACCTCCAAAATATTCCTCGCACAAGGAATGCTAGTCACCATTCACTACCTTAGAAATCACATCCCCATCTACAGGAAGCCCCAAATATATAGAAACATCTTCCGACGTAATAATGCACTCTCTACACGGAAGATGGAATGTGTGTGTCTCTGGTCTCCACCTCTCAACCAGTGTAGAAATAAGGTTGAGTTCAATGTTACAATGCCCTTCATATTTCATTACGTAACCAAATCCAACCTCGACTAAATACGTCCAGACACGAGTAGGTATCTCTAACTTAACGTTACTAATGAATGGATCTAATATATGATATCTCTCTCCTAATTTAATAAATAGTATACAAATTAAAATATAAACTAATACTAAAAAATTAAATAAATAAAACATTTACAATAATTAAAATAACAACACAATTTAAAATTGTTACCATATTGACAAAATACCTCGAGAAATGATTCTCATCTAAACGTAGCAACATGCCTTCCATTTTATAACTGCAAAAAATAATAAATAAATAAAATTAGTACAATAAAATTTAATAAATAACAACACAATTTAAAATTGTTATCATATCGACAAAATGCCTCGAGATATGATTCTCATCTAAACGTAGTAGCTTGCATTCCATTTTATTACTGCAAAAAGTAATAAAAAATTAGTACAATAAAATTTAATAAACTAATAAATTATTATAATATAATAAAAATATTTTACCTTCTTAATTGAAAGATTGATAATAGAAAGAATGAGATAATTTGAGATTTGAGGGTTGTGTTGAGTGTGGTATTTCTAGGAAGAGGGGAGAGGAAAGACGAGTAGTAATCAATGTGAGAGACGTACGGTTGAGGAATTAAAGAAAATATACGCGCCTTCCGTACGTGTCAGAGTTTAGCGAAGGAGGGGATGGCCATCTATATCTTTCCTTACGTGGCGCCAACTAAGACATAACCCTACAAAGGCGCGATTGACGATCCTTGCTCTATTATCACCGTGTCAGAAAGAGTGCTACATCGTTAATATTAGAGCAGAGAGTACTTACTAGTAATTATTGGGTCTAAGGATTATATTTTAGTAAAAACGCCGAAAATAGCACTAAATAAAAGTGAGTTAACAAACTGCAATTCCCGAGGCCATTATTGTTAGTTGCGTGTTAGAAAACAAGCAGATCTGTCACCAATCGACCACGGGATATATCCTGCCAGTAAAACCTGTAGGGTGTTCGGCTTTGGCTCAAATGGTATCATATTCATATGTCATGAGATCGGATCTTCTGTGCCCGACCTGCAAGTTTAACTGTTCAGGTACTAAGAGAGGTGGTTGATAGAGTCAAAAAAAAAGCTCCGATCAAGCCGTGAACCCTCGAATAAGTCTCACCGGCATCGAGACGTCAACAGCTTAACATATTGTTAAAGTCGGCTATGCTATGATGGTTAACAACACAATCAAGGGTATGGGCTTTAGCTTGTTTGTGAGGCTATGTTAATTATGGAGGTTGCTTTCCAACCTGCTTTAATGTCTAAGCATTACTTTTTTTCAAGTTGAGGGTTGGTGTCAAAATCATCATTTCTCTGACAAACTTCCCCTACCCCAGTTTGTGCAACGAAATGTCGAACCAGACTGAAACAAACTAGAATATGAGCTTATTGATAACAGAGGGTTAGATCTTGAGTTTCCATTGAACAACCAATGAGAATTTGACAGAAAATGATTCCCAACGACGCCACGCCTCTGTTTTCCCAACTCAAAAATTGAAAAGAAAGAGAAAAAGTGCATAAAAATATTAAGATAATTAATAATCTGTCACCATTGAGCTGAAAATTCATACATAAAACTAATAGTGCAAGTGCAAATGATGGAATGAAAAATGTAGAAATGAGCTTTTAGTTTCCAGTGCTTCAAATGTGTCATCCACCCAGAAGATTGCTTTGTTTGACATAATTGCAAGTACTCTGGCAATTGAATTAAAATTGCAATGGATTTTCTCGGCATGAAGACTCGTGAAGGCTTCGTTATGGCAACATTTGAAGGCATCAAGTTTTACCGAATTACAGGTGCTAAGCCACAAACTTCAACGTCTTTTTTCTCAGACCCGAGGAGGAACTAATTGCCCTAAAACAACGCATTGCCTCATTTAGTAAGACCCGTTGTTTTACAAATGGGGCATAAGTTCTTTTGCATCAACCACTGTTTAATGCAATCAGCATGGAAGTTGTGGCCACATTCCAGTGTCCCAAGATTTTCTCCATCATTGTATTCTTCCTGCACATTCGTAAACAATAATTTAAGGGGGTTCATAGAATCAGAAAAGAAACCACATTCGAGGAAATTCATTACCTGACAAATACAACATGGTTCTGCCTCTAACTGAGCTCTTGATGTACTAGAGTACTTTCTTTGCTTCAGACGGTTTAATATAGTTTCTTCAGTCAACCCTGTGCTCACATTACCAATGCGCTCTTCGAGAGCCAACAACTCCTGTTACCCACAAAACAATTCTAACATGAGAATTTTCACACCTGGAAAGGATATTAGATGTCAAGTATATATATAGATGTTACCTCATATGACATGTTATCAACATCGAGCCGCATATCCCTATGCCGGTCGTGAATATCAGCTACTCCAAAAACTACAGATTGATCGAGGATCATAACATCCTGCCATAAGAGCAGTATTAGAAAGAAAACACCACTGTTAGGTCAGAAGTAAATTCTCATCCGAAAACAACACTTGTCCAACATTCCATGGCCAATCTTTGTCCACAACAGCTCAAATTTGAAGAATATCTAACTACTAAACTACAGTGACAATGAACAATAAAAGGAGATGGAATATTTTTTGCATGATTCAATTAGTGAAGTACACCATAAATATCAGAAACATTACCTCTAAACGCAAGTTCTCACCCCTACGCATGAGATCCAAAACATGACGAATCTGCACCGTAACAAATTGTCAAATCTAGTTGAGGCCTTACTTTATAAAAGAACATTTAATGTTGGAAAAATATGTTGTGCACAGCTAAAACAAGACTTTACAAGGTAAACATTTACTTTTGTGTGATCAAAATAAGAATTGAAGTGACACAAACGAATGAGTGATTCATAGTACTTGTGCTGGTGCAAGCATCTTGGATAACAATGCTCAATGAAATTTCTTTCAAACAAAAGAACCTAAAAGAAAAAAAACAGCATACAAATGTTCTCCGCAATTAGCATTGCATTATCATTCAAGAAATAAAAGTTCTTCCTTCACCTATAACAGTTATTTGCTATTCCACAAAAGTTAGAATGGATGGGGCAAAAACTAATTGAGGTTCCCATTTAAAGAAAATGGCAAAAACTAACAAAATAAGTAAAAATGCAATTACAGGGCAAACCTCAGACACTAGAAGCCTGCTTCTTCCTTCAGTTGCAGCAGCTAAAGTTGGCAATGAATGGGGGACTCCAACCAAACCAGCATCTTGTCTTCCTAACCATGACAGTGGCCTAGGGTATTGCCGATGGTGGCCCTGATTAGCCACACCAGATGAAAGCAGCATCTCTTGAGTAGAAGTAGGAAGTCCTGAAGCAAGAGGAGAATGATTGACATGACCTCCAGGTTCAGCACCATGGGAAGACATCAATGATCGACGAACAAGTTCTGACAATCTTCGTGGGTATTGTTGGGATGAGGGGTTGGGATGAGGAATCCATGTGGGAGCAGATGATGCATTGGTACCAGAACTTGAGCCACCACGATATGTAGAAGCAACACTTCCAGGAACACTTGTATTTCCAGTGCCTAAACCTCGATTTGTTGGATTTCTAACCATAGTTCTCAACTCCGGTGCACGAACAATCATAGGATGATCTAATAGGTTTCTAGCCATGCTTCTGGATTGATGCCCTTCACATGGAACAGAATCTCTAACCCCAGATAAGTTAGGATTTGATGAACCACCAATTCGCGAACCAGAACCTCCATTCCACCTAAATGGTTGCACATTTCGCGGTAAATTTGGAACATGATTTACGAAATTCGGATTTTGTGCACTTGCATTATCTGACACTGGTGCAGACCTTAAATCCAGAGAATGATCAGTTGGAATAAGTCTTGATGGCTGCTGAGAAGACAAAACAAAAGACTGCCTAGCTGCATCACCTGTAGAAAACATCGGAGGAGCAATAGGTTCTTGTATACTTGAAGGATTTATTCTACGGCGAAAATTCCTATGAACACTCTCTGCAGTTGGTAAAACAATTGGTTCATGAACGCTGCCATAAACTGATCCTCTTACATCCTGTCCAAGTCTAGGGTGCACCTGTCCTGAAGGGGCAGATGTATTCACACTGCTTCCAACACTATAGCTAGAAGGAACCCCACGGCATGCACTACTTTCAGCTAGATGAAAGTTGTTAGAACTTCCACTCGATGAAGACTGTCCAACATTTCCTTCTAAAGCCTTTCTTTTGTAGGATGAACGATGACCCTCATACGAGCAACCAGGTCTGATATCATTATCACCCATGGCATACCCATCACTTCCAGAAGAACGTGGAAAAGATTCGGGACCGGCAATAGTTGACATCCGCTCATTTTCAGACCCACTAGGCTTATATAGATTAGACTGTTCTGTAACTTGACAGCTATCATCATCATTATCCATTAAGCTTGCATTTAAGTTGATATCCTGGGGAACTGTACTAGAACAGGAACTTTGGCCAAAAAGAGTTTTTTGTTCATACTGCTGCTCTTCTAACCTAGGACCAGCACTTGCAGAAGCGTTCATGGAAGATGACCGCCCATGGTTTGTTTTCAGCTCATTATGGCTTACCTCATTCTGTGCACCACTTGAGCTAGACTCTCCCAAGCTCCATCGACCCAGTTCCTGCTCCTCTCGAGCAATAGAGTTCCCATGTCCAATATTCATGTTATTAGTAGAAAGCAGACAATCAGACAGTCTGCTTTCAGTGGGATTTCGGATATTATTCCAGCATACTTGCTGTTCTATTGCAGCATTACTTGATGAAGACCCATGGTCTAATAAGGTTTCAGGCAAGGAACCAACAGTACCCTTTTGGCCCTGCATTAGGCCTTCTATGAACTTCCGAGTAAATGATTGTGAAGTCCTGAACAAATTAAAACACAAATCTTAAGCCACCAATAGAAAGATAAGCAGGCATTGAACATGATTTAGAGAATATTTGATAATAAAAATACACAAAAATATTATAATAAGTTTCAATCTTCCCGTATTACTAACAGAAATTGTAAGTCAGGTATGAACTAGGTTTCCTTATAGTGACATTTTCCACTTCATACATCAGGAAACCAATTGTTGCAGATAAATTATTCACTTGGGTTAGCAATGTCATTCAAATATTGCTTGAAATCTTCAACAATGCATTGTTCGACAGTACAAGCATGTTTTCCAAAAACACAGAAGAAACAAATGACACAAACAGAGAACATCAAAGGCAAGCAGCTGCATCTAAAATCTAATAGAAATAATAGGACACTATGAGGCTGAAGAAGTAAAGCAGTATCCAGAAGTTACAAGCAAATGCAGCGATAGGGAGAAGAACAAGCACTAACTAATTAAGACAATCGGTCTCTCAACCTGCAACCAGTAGTAACTGTAGTATACGGTAACGACAATGCAACCAAATCAACAGAGAGACATAATGGTCCAGTGCGGAATAGCATCAACAAAGAACAAATTTTCCGCTAGCAGCAGCAAAGTAACAAAACCAGACAAATCCTAATCTGAAGTGATCCCAAATTTAATCAACACAGGATATCTAGGCATTTCTATACATCATAAAAGTTTGAAACCACCATCCTAGACTTGGACAACAAAACAATGAACCAAAGGGCACTAAGCAACTAAATCTGGAAATTACAAAGCATTCAAGGGGGATCCAAAATCAAACAATAATGGGCATCCACTAGCAGCATATATCGAGATGTAGACCAAAACGAAAAAACACAATAAGATGGGTTAAACATTCCAGGCTTCACCATACAAAAGAGGCAAGAACATACAAAGAAACCTAAACTGAACGCATAAACAAGTCATTCCAGCTGTAGTTATTTCTCTATAGTTTTCCCTCAAGAGTCAGCACCCCACCGTTCCTACCCCAACCCAAAGCCACCATACAACAGAAAGCAAGCAAAGAAAAAAGACAGAAAACAACAAAATCTAACACAACCGCAAAATGCAATAGAGAATCTAAGGTCAAAGATGGCAACTATAAGAACCATCTCTCTACAATCAGCTATTACGAGAGACGGCCTCAATTATAAAGAAACCCAGTAAAAATACAGCAAAAGGATAGACTTCAAACAGGTAAGACCTCGATATATGCAAATTTTGAAAAATGAAAAGAAAGGCATCAAAATAAAAACTTTCGGAGGAAAAAGGCACCCTTTAAGCCAAAACCAATAAATTGAACAAACAAAAACCCAGAGACCATATTGTCCATATCTAATCTGATCATCAACCGATCAAGCAGAAGAACAAACAACACGAAAATACAACCAAATAGCTTACCAAACGTGAAGAAATTAAAGACCTTGCTCGATCTAAAGAATATAAACAAGAAAACAAAGGATGAGAAGGGGGGAAGATAAAAGAGGCTGTCTTAAAGCTATCCCTTCTCAAGAAAGGAAAGAGAGAAGAAAACAAAGGAAAACCAGAACTTGAGCAATGGGAGGAAGAGAGAGGGCCTGTGAAAGATAAAATGAAATACTCTAAACAAGAAACAAAGAGATAGATTAACCTGTAATTTACCAAATAACCCTGCAGAAAGAGAGACGGACAAAAAAGAAAATGGAGTAATGGTCATAAGAGCAGTTTCCAAACATATGCTTAAACAAACAACAACAATAACTATGCGAAGCTGTCCTCTTGGGCCGCTCACCGAATAGCTTTCATGTCTTCATCTTTGATCTCTCTTTTCCTTGAAAAGACCTTTTTTCCCCCTCTTTCCCATTCTCTCTATATGAAAAAATAAATAAAAAATAATCCTTTTCACCTCACACCTTCTCTATCTCTAAAACCAAATGTATAAATGGAAATTAAATAATAATATAATTAAGACACGTCTCCCATTCCAATGCGGTCCGTAGCAAAGCCCCACAAACACTAAACGATCTCTGTTTGTTTTGTTACCATCTCGTTCACGCCAAGTACCTGGCTGCCCGCCTTCCCCACCCTTCAGGCTCTTGGAGTCTTTTTTTAACTCTTTAAATCCTCCACATGCAATTTCTCTCTCTCCCTTTCCTTTTATGAGGAGCCAGCCTTGTCCACCTTTCTTTTTTTACCCAATAATATTCCGATTTAAAAGACTAATGGTTTTCCAAAATACATGAACATGACAGGTAAAAATGTTACTCTGCTAAATATAAACGTGGCTTTGGTATATAGTATTTATAGAGAATTGTCCCCACTTGAATGACTTGATTTCTTGCCTTTTTTTCCACCCCTAAAAGCTTAAAAGTTTTGATTGCTTTTAGAATTATAACCAACCATAAATGGAATTTGTTTCTTTTTCTTAAAAAAAAAATCTGTAGATGAGATTTGGGAAGAAAGAAAGAAAATTATGCAGTATGTTGTGATGGGGTAAGAACTTGAATTCTGTGTCCTGTAGTTGTAGGTGGAATGTATCAAATGGAGAAATGCAGTTGCAGTGAATGCACGGCAAATATAATTGCTTAGCTTAAAAGAGGTGTGAGTACAATGACCCCAAAAGTTCCCTCCCTCTCCCTACCAATGAGTAGTTATGCAGGTTTCTTGATCCCTCCTTTTATTATTTCGTCCTTGCCTTGCCTTGCCTTTCATATTTCAATCGTGGGAGGACTCTTTCCTCTTACCTTCTACTGCTTGCCTACCTTTTTTTATTTGATTTTTTTCCTTCTTTCAAACCATTCAAAGGTGATTGCTTTGGTTCACTTCGCTGAGTTTTTTTTTCTTCAACAAATGTGTCCATTTGGACGTATGGGTTGAGCTTATACAACCACATTCGGTAACTTTTCTTTGAAAATTTTAATTAATTACATAAGAATTGACGATTCTCCATTTTCCAAAGAGAATATTATAAACGTAGCATTTGCTTTAGAGAGTGGTAGAGAGAGAGAGAGAAATCTACCACCTTACATATGATGCCAACGCATGAGATTGGACATTATGCACTAATTCCAAAAAGGAAAAATAAAATAACACTTGGAGATAGATAAATGAGGGAAGGAGATTTGAAATTAAAGAGACATTTTATTAAAGAGACATGCTTGCAAGTTGGGATTGGAATTATATATATGTATTTTCATCATTTGTGTTTTCCATGAGTGTTTATACTGCATGGATATCAACAGTTATGCCTTGTGGTATTTTTATTTCATACACAATAAGTATCCTATACTTGTTTTTTTCATTGTAATTACAATGATGGGATGGTAATAATTCTTTGAAGGAAAGGTTAAGCAGTGAACGATGGGGCTAGGTGTTGGCAATCATGTGAGATTTAAACCCTAGACCATTTTTTATCTTTAAAGCCTGTTTGTTTCAGAATGGTGGGAGGTGGGAGTGAATGATTCACTTATCAATTCATTGAAAATCAGTAAAGCTTATGAATTATTATGACCCAATTGTATTCCTATTTTCCTTTTTTTTTTAAAATTTTGGACCTATAAACTACACAAAAGGACCAAGTGACCCTCCCCTAGGAGCAGGCATTAGCATATGGGAGAGGTGGTGGATGTCTTGAATGCAGTGATTTCCAACTTGCAAATGCCAATCCCGAGTGTTTACCAACAAACTTAAATCCAGATGGGACGAACGCATTGGCTTGGATTAACCACATAATGGACCTGCACGAACCCAGCTCCTTGTTTTCTATTGCTGCGGCTTCAGACATGACACTAGTAGCAGCACTATATCAAAGCTTTCAAGCAACTAATGATGTTACAGCAAACCAAAAATTTAAAACAGATTCATCATAATTTATTTAGATTCAATCGTTCAATTTATCTACAACAGCAGGAGGTTTCAAAGTAGATTTACAAACAGTTATAGATAGAATTGCTTTACCAGGGTGACCATTCGGATGTTTTTCAGGAAATCCGCATTGTTATACAGTTTTGAGGACTCCATCAATGAGAGTTCAGAAACACAATATAGAACAGGCTAGGAAAAGAAAAACAAACGTGGAGGCATTTGAGAACTGAGTGGGCAAAATGTTTCAACCCACCATCACGAGAGAAATAGAAAGAACTTTGAAGCCAGGTGGAAGCACCTGACGTTAAAATTTGTCGGCGACTCATCCAATGTGCCACACGATTAATTCTTCTGAAACATAGCTTCTTGGTAAATTCTTCTCAAGTAATATTCCTGATCATGGTGAGCCAATAGATAAATTTACTAAAAACGTTCATGAATGTTATTGATCCAAGGATTTGAGATAAAAGAGAACAAAAATGACCTTACGAGGTGAGTGAACCACCACCCATCAGATTTCTCTCTATTCAGATTTGAAGAACATTTCTTGTTTCCAATAAGATTCTTCAACATATAAATCATTCTCTTGATATTTCTGAAGGTAACTGTTCCTATTCTCTTTATGGTACATATGATGTACAATCATCAACTGAGATCTTCCATCTCTATAAAATCTTCTTCTATAATTGACAGTAACTTATTGGTAGTTAGCCAAGATCCCACCTGCATAACAGCCATTGCACAGAAAAATTAATTCAACTTTAGGAAAGAATGCATCGTCTAATAAATGCTTCATGTGATAAACGTTTAGGCATGCTTAACATTTGTGGAGTTAAAGGCTTCACATGGTGAAAAATTTATTATACATGTACAACAAAGAAATATGGGCAGAACAGAGATTATATATTTTGTAATGTGAAGAACTCAAAAGATTGGGTGAGTAACATTCTTTTTAATGCTCAACCATAACTCAAGGAAAGAGACAAGTGTGTTGGCAACAATTACTCTATAATCATGAATATGTATTACCATTGGCAAGACAGATTGAAAAGGGTTACATCATATAAAGTTCTGCAATTTAATTGTTATGAAAAGAACTGACGGCTTATTGGTACATGCATGACAAAAATTGTAGTTATTTGAAAAACATAAAAGCTTTGTTAGAAAAGGGAAAACACAAAAGCCATGTTTGGTATCACAAACAAAGTATGTACTAAACTGAAAAGAAATTGCCACAATGTGACTTCCATGACAAAAGAAAGGAACATGCTCAATCTAGATTACCAAATCATTGGTCGGATCTGGTGGAATGCCTGAAGGAAACTCAAAACTAGCAACAGAAACAGGTCTAGTTGCTATTGGGTCGTCTAGCTCTTTATTGAAGTCATCGCCATTGGTTTCAACTTCAAGAATGTCAGGCCTAAGAAATTCATCCTGCTGATTACTAATGTGAGGTATGGCAGAAACAGTATCTTCTGCACAACTAAAAACATTCTATGATACGCTATTTCTAGCACGAGATTTGACAAATACTTGGCATAGCACAAAAGTAGCCTGAAGATGGTAGAGACATCACTTTCATGGAGGTAACAGTCCCAGACCCTCCCCACCAATGAAGCCAATCTCACAAAACACAAGCATATTTGATTATGGAAAAGCTCATATTTTGTAAAAAGTAGGTGCACAAAAGCGAGAACTTACTAAGATTTCACTACAACATTTGCGGAAATTTACTTGATTGAGGGCTCGGAATATTCCAATCTACACAGGTTGGTTCTACTACAAGTGACAAAGAAAAACAACAATGAAATCATTCTGATGTGGCTCTTTAGAAACCAAATCCTTTTGCACATATTTGCCTCAGATCATAAGGCACAAGTGATTACTACAATGAACAATTAACGTACTGAACCCATGGTGAGCCACGTACAACCAAGTGGGAGCACAATTAACATACTGAAGTTTTGGAAAACATGAAGTTAGTATAGAAATTCCATATGTCCAACAGCAAGTGTCGGGTGAAAGAAGTCACAGTCAATTTAAGCATCAAAAAAGGGTAGGGGCTATGTGGAAAACATGAAGTTAGTATAGAAATTCCATATGTCCAACATAGCTTCTTGATAAATTCTTCTCAAGTAATATTCCTGATCATGGTGAGCCAATAGATAAATTTACTAAAAACGTTCATGAATGTTATTGATCCAAGGATTTGAGATAAAAGAGAACAAAAATGACCTTACGAGGTGAGTGAACCACCTCCCATCAGATTTCTCTCTATTCAGATTTGAAGAACATTTCTTGTTTCCAAAAAGATTCTTCAACATATAAATCATTCTCTTGATATTTCTGAAGGTAACTGTTCCTATTCTCTTTATGGTACATATGATGTACAATCATCAACTGAGATCTTCCATCTCTATAAAATCTTCTTCTATAATTGACAGTAACTTATCGGTAGTTAGCCAAGATCCCACCTGCATAAAAGCCATTGCACAGAAAAAGTAATTCAACTTTAGGAAAGAATGCATCGTCTAATAAATGCTTCATGTGATAAACGTTTAGGCATGCTTAACATTTGTGGAGTTAAAGGCTTCACATGGTGAAAAATTTATTATACATGTACAACAAAGAAATATGGGCAGAACAGAGATTATATATTTTGTAATGTGAAGAACTCAAAAGATTGGGTGAGTAACATTCTTTTTAATGCTCAACCATAACTCAAGGAAAGAGACAAGTGTGTTGGCAACAATTACTCTATAATCATGAATATGTATTACCATTGGCAAGACAGATTGAAAAGGCTTACATCATATAAAGTTCTGCAATTTAATTGTTATGAAAAGAACTGACGGCTTATTGGTACATGCATGACAAAAATTGTAGTTATTTGAAAAACATAAAAGCTTTGTTAGAAAAGGGAAAACACAAAAGCCATGTTTGGTATCACAAACAAAAGTATGTACTAAACTGAAAAGAAATTGCCACAATGTGACTTCCATGACAAAAGAAAGGAACATGCTCAATCTAGATTACCAAATCATTGGTCGGATCTGGTGGAATGCCTGAAGGAAACTCAAAACTAGCAACAGAAACAGGTCTAGTTGCTATTGGGTCGTCTAGCTCTTTATTGAAGTCATCGCCATTGGTTTCAACTTCAAGAATGTCAGGCCTAAGAAATTCATCCTGCTGATTACTAATGTGAGGTATGGCAGAAACAGTATCTTCTGCACAACTAAAAACATTCTATGATACGCTATTTCTAGCACGAGATTTGACAAATACTTGGCATAGCACAAAAGTAGCCTGAAGATGGTAGAGACATCACTTTCATGGAGGTAACAGTCCCAGACCCTCCCCACCAATGAAGCTAATCTCACAA